AAATTTTTTTATCCAAAAAATTTCAATTAAACAATTAAAAAAAAAATATCACTTGTTAAAAACTTGAAAAACTATAAGTGCAATTTTTTAAAAAATCTTTTTAGTTGTAATTTAATTTAAAAAAAAAAATCAAAAATTTCCATAAAAAATACCGCTTAGTTGTAAATATTATAAAAAAAAAAAATTGCGTAATATTAAAATTCATATTTACATAAATATAATGTAAAGTTTAATCAAAATCAAACGCTCTTCATCCGTCTGCTATTTTCCATACCTAAAAAAAAATATAAAACATAAATTTTCAAGAAAAAATAAAAAAAAACAAACAATGTAATTCATTAAAACTTACATTTTTTTTACATAAAGTGATGAAATATCCAGTGGAATTAGGTTAGAAAATCTTGTGAGCAAGAATCACTCCTGATCACAACAATAATAAATAATAAACTCACAGTATCACATAATTGTAATTATTATTATAAATATTTAATCATGACCATGGCTTTCGTAAAATTTGACAATGAAATTATTTCTATTTTTAATCACAAAAAAAAATTATTAAAAAAAATTCAGTGTTTTTGTTATTGTTATTGTTGTGGAAAAAAAATCAATTAGTAAAAACACACCCCCTCTGTCGTTTGTTCAACACAATTAGAAAAAGGTCAAATGGAACCCAATGTGTATTTTACTTGTTAACAATAACAATAACAATAATCATAATATTAAATATTAATAATAATAAACTGGTATGTTATGTTGTATACCGAAGAAACACGATCAGACGATCAATCACAAAACACATATATAATTTATCTACACGCGCGGAAGTGTACGTAAAAATAAAAATCCAAATACATATGGCTTAGATGTGCTGTACATAGTAAACACAACTACAACTACGGAAATAAACTTTATCTCTCTTGTTATTGCTTGTTACTTATTCAACCAATGAGAACGCGGGATGCCAGCTCACGTCACGAAAATTTTATTATTTTCGTCTATTTTGTCCACACAAAGAAACCACGCGACTGCTAATGCAGCTATTTATTATTTATTATTATGTTGTTTAACTGTTGATTATAAAATGGTTGCCTCAGAGTTTTTTTTTATTTTTCTTTAATTTTAAGGGAATATTCACTGTGAATTTATTAACTACGGTTAATCAATCACGGAGAATAAATTTATTTATTAGTAATTTTAGGAGACACTTTTTTGTGAGATGTTTACGTTTTTACACTGAGATTATTTATGTATCGAAACACGGGGATCGATTGTTTGGAAGTTTTTTTTGTCTTGGGAAATCGATTGTGTAACTTCGATTTTTATTGGAGTTTAGTTCTGCGCATGCGCTGAATAAACCAGGAAAATTTTAAATTGTGTATATGTTTAAATTATGAAAATTAATTTAGCAGACATGGAAAAAAAAAGTTAGCAATCTTAACAATTTTTTAATTTTTTAATTGTTTAAATTTCTATATTTCAATTTTTTTTTCCAGGTCTTAAAGATCACAAAAATTATATTTATAATAGAAATTAGTGATTTCATTAATTGAATAAGTACCAAAATCAAAGAAAGTGTCAGTAAGGGAGTCCCGGAGGAATCCCCGACACTAATGGGGTCTTTTACCTTATTTGTAATTTTTAAATCTACGAAAAAAAAAAAAATAAAATGAAAGTGATAGGCGCGCAGTAGCCTATCGGATCCGGCCCTTGCTACCAAAGCATTGGACCGGGTTCGAATCCGGCGTACACCAATGAATATTTTCAATATTTAAGTGTATATTATTCTGCTCAGCCCAAGAAATACAAATGAGTTCCAATCTCAAAAGTGTACCCCCTACCGTAGTCGCTCATGACCTTAGTAGTTTATGCGACTTTAAACAAATTAAAAAAAAAAAAAATGAAAGTGAAAATTTGTTTGTAACAAATATTTTTTATTAGACAATGAAAATTCAAATAAAAAAAAATTCTTTCACAATTATATTAAGAATTATTTTTATTTTATTTAAATTTATTGCATTAAGAGTTAAATTTACATCTTTTAGCAAGAGGTGCCATGGGCAGTACATATTTTAATTACAGATTAGGTTTTGTATATTAGTATAAGTTTGAAGAGCAAAAGTATTTTTATTTAATGCAGAATGAGTAACCAATAAGAGTAGAGAGGTAAGCAAGTTTAAAATGAGCTGATGGGATTATTGATTAGCGTTGGCGATTAACGGAGAGTGGAACGTTGAGATGAGGATCAGGTGAGACTTCCTAGTGTTGGAGGGCCCAGTTTCGGAGTATTATGCATTTCCTTGTGTAGTTATAGATTGCGTAGATGTTATGTTCATCTAAGGTATCTAGGAGTGAACAAGCAGTTGTGCTATTTGTTATTGACTGACTGAGGTAGTGATTTCTGTATGGACTGAAAATCGGGCATCTCAACAGAAAGTGTTCAATACTACACTGTAAAAAAAAACCGGTGTAAGTCCGGTGTCAAAATTACCGGTGTTAAATTTAACACCGAAATCGGTGTTATAATAACACCGATGTAACACCGTTTGCGGTGTAAATATTTTTTTCGGTGTTAAAACGGTGTTATAAATTTTCCGGCGGTATAAATTTGTTTTAATTAACACAATATTTATAATCGAACCGTACATCTTTAATAATTGGAAATAAATAATAAAAAAATAATAAAAGAGGAAGATATTGATATTTAAAATTTTTTTCACGTAAAAAGAAATTTGAAGCTAAGCATAATTACTTCAAAAACTTAATTTTTCTATACAAAAATTATATCAATGTTCCAAAAATGTTGGCCACTCAGCACCAAAAATTCATTTACTACAAATGGAATGAATTGAACGAAAATGACAATATTTTAAAACTCGGAAAAGGAAAATTTGAGAAGCTCGGAAATTTATTTGACAATATTCCATATCATGAAGTAAACTCTGATGAAGCTTTAACTCTGAGCAGTGTAGTTTATGAAGTATCAGAGTTTGAATTTCACTTTACCTACAAGAAAAATTATTTTATTGCTTTATGTATCGATGACTTAACAGATTTACCAATTTACAGTGAAATCAAAAATATTTTCGTTAATGATAATAATTTAATGTTTTACTGTAAATTATGGGAGACTGTTTGTTATGATGCGAGCTTATGTGCAAATAAAATAATTGAAGAAATGGAAGAAAAATATCAAATTATTAGTTTTTTGGATTTGAAATTTCCACTACCTTATGAAAAACATCAATGTTATGATAAATGTACACTGTAAAAAATTTCGGTGTAAAAGTTGAACTCAGAGACTTTTACACCGTCGTGTAAGTGTGAAAAGTCGGTGTAAAATTTCCTTCGTGTGAAATTTTCACTCGTGTAAATTTAACACGGTGTAATTTACTGTTTTACACTATTCCGTGTTATTATTTATAACTTTGCAAACTTAATATGTGACTGCCGTGACTTGTGAACTATAAATAAATAAAATTTTGCTTTATTAAATAATGACTTTTGTTAAATTGCACTGTACTTTTTTAACTAATGACTTTTTTAAAAATATAAGCTCATCCCGATGATACAATCATCAAGAGCTTTCATTTGAGTACCCACATGCATTTATTATATTTTTCATACATACATATATATATATATAATATATATAAATATATGAAAAAATGATATGGGTACTTAAATGAAGGGTAGTGATGAGTTTAAGATCGAGATGAGCTTATATCTTAAAAAATGTCAGTAGTTCTCAAGATGAAAGGTAATTTCTTAATTATTGAGATTTTTAAGGATATAAGCTCATCTCGATGTTACACTCATCAAGAGCTATCATTTAAGTACCCACATGCATTTTGATATATTTTTCATATATTCATATATATAATATATATAAATATATGAAAAAATGATGTGGGTACTTAAATGAAAGGTCTTGATGAGTGTAACAACGGGATGAGCTTATATATTTAAAAATTTCAATAGTTCACAAGGTACAAGGTCATTTCTTAATTATGTATTTAGAAATAGAGCATTTTCGAATAATGCAGCCTAAATACTTATCATCATAAATTGACTGTTGGTGAGAATGATATGAAACCATGAAAAAACACAACTCCAGGTCAAAACTTTTCCAACGATACCAAATTTAACCATAAAACTTTTACTTTACTACGTAAAATAGCATAATATCAAAAAAAATATACTTTAAAATATTTATTTCTACGTGTTTATATTTAAAATCTAATATCGTACAAGCCTGAAACTAAACAATCAAATTATATTAATTAATGAGAAATTTCAAGAAATACATTTACACGTTTAATGGTGTAAAATTTAGAATTCACACCGTTCAAATTTAACATTACACTCACTGTGATTTTCACACCGTCCGTGTTAAAAATTTTTACACCAAATCATTTACACCACACCGAGTCCAAAAAATTTTTTACAGTGTAACTACTATATAGTTTCTAAACATTTATTACTGTAAATATTTAATAACTTGTTGTATTTATTATATTAAGTTAATTTATGTTTTATTTGATTTCAGTCTAATTGTAAAATAAACATTAATTTTTTCAATTTTAATTAATATCTAATATTATTTAGTGTTTCATAAATTCTGTACTGATAATACACCGATACGGAGTTACTGTACACCGCTGTAACACCGATTTAACACCGGTAACACCGATTTAACACCGAATTTTTAACACCGCCGAGAACCATTTTAACACCGGTGTTAAGTGACCGGTGTTGCACAGCGGTGTTAAAATGAATCCATTTTAACACCGCTTTTTTTACAGTGTATCTCTGTCATTTAGGTTACAGAGTGGACACGTGTTGGCTGGATCGAGTTTGCATGCCGCATAATAGATTTCATAAATAGTTTGGAAAATCCAAAGATGCAGGTCTCAACGCTCATTCATCACAAAAAAAATAATGTATGGCCAAAGATTACACTATTTTTTTTATATATATATTCCTTATAAATGTATATTTTATGTACATATTTTTATTATATATTGTACATATATTTTTATTATATGTTTTTTATATATAAAATGTTAATGAATTTTTTTTTAATAAATAACATTGAATTTAGACTGTAATTTTCAATAGGTTATTACTCAGAATGATACTGAAGCGAATAAAAAAGAAATGGGCTCAAAAAGTGAAATTTTTTGGGCGATATCGTGACCACATACATCATTCGCACATACAGACAACCCGACGTCCACCGAAATATTTTTTCAAAAAAGTTTTTTTTTATATTATCTAGAAAAAATAGTATTTTTTAAAGTATCTACTATCATAAATATCTACAATAATAAATAAAGCACTACTCAAACGCTTCGTGTATTGACATGCAATTTAATAAGAATATATAAAAAATACGGTATTATGAATCATGGATTTAAATATATTTAATGATTAAATTTTTTTATTATATTTTTTTACACGGTAAGTAATTATTTACTTAATTATAACAAATCCATGTTATATTATAATACTAGATTTTGTTTTAAACTACCTTAACTCCCGCTTCTGCAATTATCGGAGCTTGCGAGCCAATTGGAGAAACATCATGGTTAGAAAAAGAGAGGGTGGGGATTTTTAATTTTTGATTTCATTTTTAATTAAAAAAAAAAAATAGAAATATAAAGAACATCACTTAAAAAAATTTAAGGATTTGCAGAAAATATCACAATTCAGAAATATAAATGAAAATAAAAAATGGTCAACTTTAGAAAATTTTAAATCATTTTCAAAAGTTTAAAAATAACGAAATTAAAATATTTTTCAAAAACAAATAAAACACTATTTAAAAACAAACACATAAAAAAAAGCATCATAATAAGTTTAAGGGGGATAGCGACTGTGAGGATCGAAAAAATAGGTGATTTTCGGGAATTTTTTCGACTGGGATAATAAAGGAATTTGGGGATCGGGTTTTTTTTTATTTTATAAAGTATACATTGAAGATTATTCCCCTAAATTTTTATTAAAAAAATATCATGTTGTTACAAAATTACTAGCATTTTTTTGGAACACCAAAAAAATTCCCCCTACCACGGTGCGATCTCTAACGGATCAAAAACGGATTATTTCAAACAAAAAAACGAATCAACGTTGTAATCTGCATGCATGTGGTTAACGTTGCACGTAAAGGATTTTGAAAATTTTGATTTAAAAAAAAATGGCGATCTATTAAAAATTTTTTCGATTTTTTTTCTCATTTTTTTGGATTCAAACAGCCCTAAAAAATCTTAAAAATCAAAATTTTCAAAAACTCCTACGTGCAACGATAGCTACTGAATAGATGAATACGAGGAAAAAAAAGTTGCAAATCGATTCATATTTGTGCAAATTACAGTTCGCACCAGTTCAAAAAAAGTAGTTTCGAAAAAAACGCGTTTTCGTCCGAGTGCCGTGCGTGCAAAGTCATTTAACGCGCTGTCACAAAAATGAATATAACTCGGAAAATATTCGGAATTTTCATACAAAACTCTAGATACATATTTTCAAATCTGTTCGATGTCTACTCGAGAGGACTAGACTGGAACTTCCTCAACTCTGAAAGAGCTCTTACGTAAGTGAATGAATTGGCGGCCTTGAGAAAGGCCTTTGTTTGAGATGTGACTTAAGCTCTGTCGAGATGACAGTTATAGCTGAGTGGTTGCTATAGGGGCGACTCAAGGTCGCTCGCTCTCAAAAGAAGCTAGTTGGCTTTTAGTTCTGAAAAGAACTATTATGGTTACTCAGGAGCTCTGACAAGAGCTGATTTGTTGCTAGTTGAGATGATCCGTACTTGTAAAAAGATAGTCAGGCCTTGCGCGCCTGCTAGATTTCGTATTCACTTGTTGAGACAAGCCTTGCTCGCTTGTGTGCTGGCTTTGATTCGGCTGAGAGAAGTCCTTCCCGAGTCGAAAAGTTTCAGCATTACTCTGAACTGAATAAACTGCTAGTCAACGTTTGAAAAAAATAAAAAGCGGCTATTTAAAATACATTATAAAATGAGCCTGAACTCAGACTGAAAAGTGGTTTTATTTCACTTATCAGGACTAGCAGGCTGAATTTCAGTTTGAATGTGAACATATTAATTCAGGCTATTCAGCTTGACAATAGCTTGAAGTCAGGCTATTCAGCTCGACAATAGCTTCAAGTCAGGCTATTCAGGTTGAATTACTGCTCAATGAAAGAAGCGTGATCAGCTTGAAATAAGTTTGAAATTAAGGCTTTTCAGGTTGATTTCAGGTTACTAATAATAGGGTAATAAGGTTAAATATCAATTGAACTTGATTGATTATATTTTAATTATATCTTTTAATTTATTTAAATAATTATAATGGAATGAGAACAAATGAATAGATTCTAAAATACACCGCGGAAAAAAGAACAAAAAGTAAAAAAAACATTATTAATGTGTAAAAGATAACAAGCGGAAAATTTTACTTTGGAGGATTTTGTTTTTTAAGCAGCTTCATCTGATAACTTCTTTTATTTGATATGATATGGTTAATTTCTTGAATAAGAACTTTTCTTGGAATCAAATTTTCCCTGCCTTGATTAATCCATGCTGAAATATGTAACAAATATAACGTTTAAAATATTAACAAATCTTGAGAATGTGGACGATAATAATAAGATGTTAAATTTAAAAAAAATGCATTTTAAAAAAAAAAATTCAACATTCTTTCAAAAATTCAAAAATTTCAACAATATCGTTTAAATTTAACACTTTTTTCAATGAATATAATAATTAATTACCTAATAATCCGTTAAACAAATTTTGATTAATTTTGGGACGAGCGTTTCTCCTACTTCCGGTAGCAGAGAAATTAATCATGTGATTTCCGTAGACTTCCACCATCATTTCTTTTACGATCGTGTCCCAATTATTCGTTTCTTCATATTTTAAATCAATTAAAGCCTTTAAGTTTTTTGAAATAAAAAATTTGCACCCAGGTGCTATTTCAACCTTTAAAAATTATTATAAATAAATATACAACAATGTAGATTTTTGCATTTCAGTAATTAAAAACTTACTTTATCATCACCAATTTGTAGATATTTTTCTGGTACCTATGTGAAATTAAAAAAAATTTTGAATATGTATTTATAAAAACAATCAATATAATTTCGACGATGAATGTTTGAAAAATAATCACCAATATTTTTTCAACTATTATAATTGTAATATTCACAATAATTACCTTGTATGATTTATCAACAATACTTGCAACTTCTTGTTGACGTTGATAACCTCTCTTAATTGACAGATAAATTTGTTTTTGCATCCAAACATCTCGGGCTGTAACTATAAGTATACAAAAATTATTTAATTGCAATTAAATTTGAATTAATTTGTAAATAAAACTTACTTTCTCCACGATTAATTGTGGAAACTAATTCTGTTGTCACGGGAAGACCTTCTCCGTCCAATTCTTCAGATGAACTATCTGAATCAGTTGGTGTGTCATCTGCTTCAGAAGCGTTCGTTGTACGATTGTTTGAAGATGTACCAGGACGTGAACTTTGTTTAGTAGTTGGCACAGTTTTAAATTCATTCGCATGTATTTGTTGAGATGAAGGAGGCTCAAAGTTGTTGTGATTAGAAACTGTATCGGTTAGAGTAAGTAAAGCTTGTTCATCTGATGATGTCGTAGTTATTGTTTGAGGAAAAGATGCTATTTATTGAGGTGTATTAGGTGGCACTTTGGTGCTAGGTATCTTTTGTGCAGCTGTGGATAAGGAACTTTCATCTAGTTCTTGCATAATTGAAGTCAGAGGAAGAGCAGTGTCGCTGATTTTTTCAGTTGGCGAAGAGTCTACAGTTTGTGTGAATGACCCGGTTGGATTTGATTGTGAACTATCAATATTGAAACCTGATGATGTAGGTATATAATCCACCTTTTGACTCACTGATCCCAATAATGTCTTACATTGAGTAATAAATTGCCCATTCATCGGTATGTTATTGATGACTGTTGGTGTTTGTTTGTTGGGGTGTAAGACAGTCATAACGTATGGGGTTCAGTCTCTGAAAATGGAGAGTTCAAAAGCGGAAGTGATGATTGAGATGGTTGAACAACAGGTGTATTATTATTGAAACCTGATGGTAAGATTTCATTTTGTTGCTGACTAATACTGTAATCGACTGGTGTAATGATAGCTGAAGTATTTATTGGATTAGGTAAATTCACGAGATCTTGGAAAGGTTCCCGCATATGTGCGGGCTGTGATAAATCTACTGTTGATGTATTTTGTTCAACTTGATTCTGGATCTGATTTTGATTGTTACCTGATGAATAATTTTCTGTTTGAACGGGGGGGTTTTCATGCGGTATTGTGCTTTCTTGTATTTTTGGTATAGAATTATTTAGTACATTCGGATTGATTATATTTGAATTAACTGTTGAACTCGAAGAATTGTTTTCATAATTTTTGAATTTTTGAATCAACCAATTGGTTCTAACTCCGCTGGTGAGATGGTCCGTATTGAGTTGACTTTTCGTTGGGAGTAAGCTAGCTTGCGCACTAGCTTATCCGTACTTCACTATAGTTTACCAGCCTTGCTCGCTGGTTGTAGAGTAGTCGCTGCTTCGCTGGAACTGTAGATGTTGAATGTACAGGAACGAATGGCCCGAGGCCCGTTGCGTCGCTATTGATATACTGTCGTTGCGGATAGTGGGGGAATTAAGTGTACGCCAATGAGATGACTTGCTCGTGTGCCTGTGGCGGGGACTTTTCGACCAATGAGAGCGTGTCAGGAAAGTTGGAAAATTAGGTGCCGAAAAAGGCGCGGACCGTGGAGAAAGCCCCTGTCAGTTAATTCCAAGTTACAAAGAGTCTTGGCTTGTTACGCACAGTGGTTAGATGTTTGACAATTTCCGAACAAAATCTATAAAGGGTAAATGCACCAGTTGTTGACCGGTCACCAATTAGTTGACCGATGTATAAAAAAGTTAATTAATTAATATTTTACAAGGGTTTTTTTTTCTTAAAGGATTAAAATAAAAAAATATGGCATTTAATCATCATAATAAAAAATTACGCAATTAATTGCGCAGTGATTATAGCTTTAAAAAAATATTCTGAGTTTGTTTACAATGCAACCAGCCATAAAGCGGTCAAAAATAACTAGCGTACAATTGGAGAGTGAGTGCATTTCATCATTAATTTAGTGATAGTTATCGGCATAATATAAAATATTTTAATTTTATTATGTTAATTAAAGATCAGATTCCAACTTTTTTTGAAAAAATAAAGTTAAATTATAAGTTTTAATATTATTTTAAGACCGGTCAACTATTGGATCC